ACAACATCTTTTGTTGGTATGTGGTGCTGAGGATCGAACCCGGGCCGCACGCATGCCAGGCGAGCGCGCTACCGCTTGAGCCACATCCCCAGCCCTGGCTTCTTTTCTTGAAACATGATCTCACTCCCAGACACTCCTGCCACTGTGATGCCATTCACCAGTAGGCCTTCACAAGAGTTTAGCTGATGCTGACAACATCCCCTTAAATTTCCAGAACTGTGAGCTAAATTTATATCTTCTTTATAAAGATATTCAGGTTTAGGTATTTTATTATAGTAATAGAAAAATGGACTAATACAGTAAATGAACCTATAATGAGTAAATCCATCATGCCTATCATACCTATTTTCACCTATCCATTGATTTGATGACCTAAAGGCAGCCACATCCCCTCACCCCAGCTTCATAGTTTATGGCAGTGGCATCCCATGGAAATAATACTCCAGATCTCCCTTTTTTCACCATGCAGATACTTCCACTGAATAATCTGTAAGTTCTGAACCCCGAAGACCAAATCCCCTTAAATTTGAGCTGCTTCTCTGCCTCCTTATTTTAACTAAAATCTGAGGGCCCTGTTTTCCCCACAGATATCTGAAACAGTGACTATTACTCTTTCACAAAAGGTGAGGTTGGTGACTTCCTTCCTTCTCTGTGTCACTTCTAAATCATATTGCCCATTGTGTTGCAAAAGCCCTATTCCTTTTGCATCTGTTCATTCTGTATACTTACTTACCTCTTTCCTTCATTCTTTACTGCTGTCCATCTACCAATCATCTCATCATTTCCTTCTCATTCACTGAGGACTTTGATATCTGTCTAAGGCTTTTCTTCCATCAAAGTAGGCATTTACATTCAATCCCTGCCTCAAAACCCCTTGCTATTTGACCTCCAATGATCTTTTTCACTCCAGTATATCCATAGCTTGGACTCTTGTCACCCRTAACTGTTTCATTACCAAAGTCAAACAAATTCAAACATTCTGCTCTGGCTCCTTGACCTTGTTTCAGCTACTGAATCATTCCTATTGCTATTCTTTGCCCTCACCAAGGTTTCCATTCCAAAGACCCCTCTGCTTTATCTTACAAACACAGGTCCTTTTCCAAAATTCCCTCTCTTATTCCCAAAACTTACAAGTTATCCATAATATATGCTTCTATCTCAGCCCAAAAATCCTTCCACAACAAACCTATTATTGTAGCATAAAAGATAAAAGGTACTTTCATGAGAATATTTACTGTAGAGAAAATAAAAATTGCATATCACTGGGAAAAATCTCCAAACTTTAATGTCTCCAACACTTAAAACTACATCCAGTTACTGGAACTCAAGAATATAAAGTAATAGTGCTCAGCACTAGTTTACAAAAGTCTTAGTGAAAATGTGATTTTTTAAAAATTGAGTTCAAAGAAASAGAATGTGGCCAAAATGAAACTAGGAAAGATACCAGAACAAAAAACAAATACCTTATTTCAAAAATTACAAGAATTAAGCAATTTGAATTTGGAACTATGAGCATTTGCATTACTAGGGAAGAATGAATAAAATTAGCCGGGTGCAGTGCCATACACTTGTAATCCCAGCAGCTTGGGAGGCTGAGGCAGGAGGATCACGAGTTCAAAGCCAGTCTCAGCAAAAAAAAAAAAAAAAAAAAAAAAAAAAGTGAGATGCTGAGCAACTCAGTGAGACCCTGTCTCTAAATAAAATACAAAATAGGGCTGGGGATGTGGCTCAGAGGTAGAGTACCCCTGAGTTCAATCCCCAGTATCCACAAAAAAAGAAATGAATGAAACTTAAAACAACATAATTGATAATGAAAACCATGTTAAATAGACTRTATAGACTGTGCTGAAGAACAAAGTAAAGCTTGGATGTAATACAATAATCCAGAAAATAATATAGATGTCTAAGAATTACATTAACACTTTAAAAAGATGATTCAGCAGTGTGTAACAGTTCTCCCATAAAAGAAACAGCAACAGGAAAGTCAGCTGGAGAGCTGTTGTGAGACCTCACACAAGATAAGATCAGTACAGGAGTTGCAGGACTGTGTAAGACAAAAAGCAGCAGAAAGATTTATGCTGAAATGATTAGAGAAAGACATACTTAAACATATCTTGAGTTTGAAGAATCAGCACATGATGAAGCTCTTGAGAATAGTTATCATAGGAAAATTATGGAACTGTATCTTATTTTCCTTAACTATCTGTTATGGGTCAAATTGTGTCCCCCAAAATAACATGTTGAAGTCCTAACACCCAGCACCTATGAGTGTGACCTTATTTGGAAACAGGTCTTCATAGATGTAACCAAGTGAAGACAAGGTCATTGGGATGGACCCTAATCCAATATGAAAAACAAACTACACAGAGAATGCCACATAAARACACAGACATACAAGGAAGATATAGCCACGTGAAGACAGAGACAAAGACTGACGTGTTACAAGAGACTGAATGTCCAGGGACACCAAGGATCACAAGCAAACCACCAGAAGCTAGAAAGAAGCAAAAAGAGATTCTACCCACCAGTCTTCAATTTCTTTGGAACRACCTGCCAACATCTTGATTTCCAACTTCTGGCCTCCAGAAACATGAGACATTTAACTCTATTTGTTTTAAGCAACCTGGTTTGTGGTCTTGGACATCTTAACACACCACCCTACCTATTCATTCACATCTCTCTCACTGACTTGGCTACAAAATCTAAAAACATAAGAACCAGGGGGTGCTGGGCCCACTCTCAACTGTTAGAGTGCTTGCCTCACATGCACAAGATCCTGGGTTCAATCCCCAGCACCACACACACACACACACACACACACACACACAAAAAAAAAAAAAAAAAAACAGGTCTATATCAAACACTGTTATATCTATAGTGCTTGGCCCTATACACTGCACAGGTAAGCATTTGAAAAACCTGTGAAAGGAAGGAGTAAATTTCAGATACTATGGTGACAAACTTAAGTTTTGATAGAAATGTTACACAGAGCCACAGCTCTCAACCACTCATACATAAGTAGAATRCCATCAATTAAAGAGTACAAATAATTGCCATTTAGTTATTAAGGGCCAATTTTAACAATGATCTTGTTTTATTAAAAAGACTAGACAATATATATAATTCAAGGGAATCCCTCTCATAACTGATACACTCACTCACTTGAATTGTCACTGGGGGAAGTAAAAGTAGAGAAGCATGCTAAGAATTGCATCCAACCCTAGAATACCCAACAAAAAAGTGTTTTATAGGAAAAACAGRTAAGAACTGCTATGAAGAAGTCACTGAATAATAATTGTAGTAACAGTAATAATAATAGTGGTTAGCAACTGTTAAACACTAGAAAACACTACTTTCTAGGCACATAATTCTATGCATTTAACAAATACTAATTTATTTAACCTCACCTGCATTACTGCAGTAACTCCATAACCGTTCTCACTGAATGCATTCTTGGACCCCTAAACATTCTGAATCCAGCAGCCAGTGATCCTTTTACAATGTCAGATAACATCACTCCTCTGCTCAAAACTCCCTATGGCTCCCATCTCCCCGACAAGAAATACCCAAGGCCAGGTGTGAACCTGATCTCACCGCCTCTCTGACTTCATCATTCAGCCCCTCCCATCACACCCTGAAACCCCTTCTTGCTGCTCCCTCTCCTTTAACATCTCACCCACCATATACTTGAAGCTCTTACTCATCCATTTTATTTAATTCTCTTCCCCAATCTGTAACACCTTTCCTGCTGACCACCATTGCTCCACCTCAGCCATAGACATCAGTGTAGGATTACTAAGAACCAAATGCTTCAGGTTTCAATCATTTGCTAAAAAACTATTCAGTTCTCATAGTTTTCTTACTCTTAAAACTTTAAGTGATGGATTATGATGTTAAAATATTTATAATACATACCTGCAGCTGTTGAAGATCATCTTCCTGAATGTTCTGAGACAAATTATAAATCTAGAAAACAAAACCCAACTTGATCTATTCTGACTTACTTCAAACAAATCCCAAATAAGCCTAAAGCATTCAAAAAGAAGTTTGGACACGGACTGGGTTGTGGCTCAGTGGTAGGTGCTCACCTAGCATGTGCAAGGCCCTGGGTTTGATCCTCAGCACCACATAAAAATAAATAAATAAAATAAAGGTATTATGTCCAACTACAATTAAAAATTGAATAAAAAAAAAGAAGTGTGGACAATTAAAGGCTTACGTATAAGAAAGTGAAGCCCATTCAAACAGTAATACTATCTGTCTTTGAGAAAAAAAAATACAAGGTTGGAATAAAAAATTCTTCCTTTACATTATAAAATATAATTTTCCTAAGTTCTTACCAAATCTACATTTCCTACATAAAAGACATAATTTCAATTTCCAAATTTTGGACCTTTCCTAGAACATATTACATATGATTATCACCAAAGAGGAAAAATAATTTAGCCCCCCTTCTTGAGCTAAGAGTTTGTCTTACATCTATAGTCTAAAAAGAACATTTCCATATCATCACAGGAATTCTTTTTAATAGAACAGTAACTAAAACTAGATAGACTGGGCACGCTGGTGCACATTTATAATCCCAGCAGCTCGAGAGGCTGAGACAGAAAGATCATGAGTTCAAAGCCAGCCTCAGCAAAAGCAAGGTGCTAAGCAACTTGGTGAGATCCCGTCACTAAATAAAATACAAAATAGGGCTGAGGATGAGGATCAATGATTGCGTGCCTCCGAGTTAATCACCCGTACCCAAAAGAAAAAAAAAATTGATGGCCTCCCTTTATCCTATTTCCTCTTATTTTAAGTTAAGTGGTTTTTACCTGAACAGAACTAGTCATGGTGCTTAGAGCGAAAATGGTGGCACAGTCTTTCACAGTTGACTGGCTGTCAAAAGCCCCTTGTGTGTCCATCAGAATAACTGCAACCTAAAAAATAAATACAAATAAAATATGTTGAAGAGAGAAAATGTAAAGGACAGATTTGTTTATATGAGCCTCAAGCACCCACTTAGTRTCTATTAGAAAAGAACAATTATTCAGGTACCTTGCTTTGACCAGAGCATTTTGCTGGAGAACATCTGTTCTGACCCGGTGAGATGCCACAAAACAGAGGCAWACAAGGCAACACAGGAGGAAAATTGCCCCACCAATCAAAACAGCCAACACTGAAATCAATCACCTCACTACCCCATCAGTCGTTCAATGGTTTTTCATTGTTAAAAAATAAATTTTAAAAACTAGGTAAGTGTGGTGATGCACGCCTGCAATCCCAGATACTTGGGAGGCTGAAGCAGGAAATTCACAAGCTAAAAGTCCAGCCAGGCAACTTAGCAGGACCCTATCTTTTAAAGGTTTTTTTGTTTGTTTGTTTGTTTGTTTGTTTGTTTAGTTGTAGATGGACACAATATCTTTATTTAGTATTTTTTATGGGGTGCTGGGGATTGAACCCAGTGCTTCACGAATGATAGGCAAGCACTCTACCACTGAGCCACAACCCCAGCCCCAAACTCCTTTTTTAAAGGCCTATGGATGTAGTGCAGTAATATTGCCTCCGGGTTCAATAACCAGAACTGGGAAGGAGGGGGGGCCAGGGACAACTTTTGTAGTTATTAGGGCACTATTAAGAAAGTGAGGGGCTGGGGTTGTGGCTCAGTGGTAAAGCACCAGCCTAGATGTATGAGGCACTGGGTTCAATCCTCAGCACCACATAAAAATAAATAAAGATATTGTGTTCATTTATAACTAAAAAATAAAAAAAATTAAAAAAAAAAAAGAAAGTGAAAAGGCAGGCTGGAGCTGTAGCTCAGTGATAGAGTGCTTGCCTCACAGGGGTGAGGCACTGGGTTCCATCCTCAGCACCATATAACAATAAATACATAAAAGATATTGTGTCCATTTACAACTAAAAAAAAATAAAAGTGAAAAAGGCAACACACACACAAACACACAACGAGAAGGACTAGTATCTAGAATAAATAAGAAACTGTACAACTTAAAAATAAAGATTACACAATTAAAACAGATTTTTTTTTTTCAGGACTGATGATGAAACGCACAGCCTCAGTCGGGAACTGTGGCTCATGCTTGTATTCCCAGCAGCTTGGGAGGCTGAGACAGGAGGATTGTGAGTTCAAAGCCAGCCTCTGCAAAAGCTAGGCACTAAGCAACTCAGTGAGACCGTCTCTAAATTAAATACCAAATATGGCTAGGGATGTGACTCAGTGGTTGAGTTCCCCTGAATTCAATTCTCAGTACCCCCCAAAAAAGATATATAGCATCAAGAGTTGTCAAGGATATGAAAACTAAAGCCTCCTGTATTACTAGTGAGAAAAATAGGTTGGTACAGCTACCTTGTATACAACTGTTCAAGGCAGCATTATTCACAATAGCCAGAAAGTATAATCAACCCAAATTTCCATCAACTGATGACAGAGAATGTGGCATATTCATAAAATGGAGTATTATTTAGCCATGGAAGGAGTAAAATATTGATGCATACTACATCATAGATGAGCCATGAGGGCACTGAGCCTAGTACAAGAGGGAAGACATGAAAAAACACATAACACTTCATTCATGTGAAATGTCACAGAGTCATGAAGAAAGCAGAGTAGTAGTGGCCAGTGGTTGACAGAAGAGGGAAATGGGGACTGACTGCTAATGGATACTGAGGTTTCTTTTTTTCTTTTTCTTTTTTTATATATATTTTTAATTGTTGATGGACGTTTATTTTATTTGCTTATTTATATTTGGTGCCGTCTCACACGTACAAGGCAGTGTCTCACACGTACAAGGCAAGCGCTCTACCACTGAGCTACAACTCCAGCTCCCTGGGTTTCTCTTTGATCTAATGAAAAGGTTCCAGAATTATATGGTAGTGATACCTGCAACAGCTTAGAAGTATATTAAAAAACACAAAATAGGGGCTGGGGATATTCTCAGTTGGTAGAGTGCTTGCATGCACAAGGTCCTGGGTTCAATCTCCAGCACCATAAATAAATAAATAAATAAATAAATGCTTCTAGATGATTAATTTTCTAGTGTTAATTGTATCTCAATAAAAAAGAGTTAATCCTGGGATGCATTTGCTAACTAGAAAAACTAGACTAAAAAAAGCAAACAAGGGGAAATACTAAAGAAAATTTCTTTGAGGGGAAGGAGTTGGAAGAAATGGTATTCTCATACCATATAATGGAACAGTAAACAGCCATAACCACTATCAAGAACATCTGTCAGTAGCTATAAAGGGTATTCTCAAGAAAGGGGAAATGAGCCTTCCCACTCCCAGCAATTCCACTTCACAGTGGCTTTCTAATGTTTTTGGCTGGAAACCACTGTGAGAAATATACTTTATACCATAATCAAATAAATACACCTGTACAAAAAGCTGAAACCAGATTTTTATGCACACTCCACTATGAAAATTTCTATTCTGTTCTAGTTCTTTGAAATGTTTTAAATACTGGTTATGAGCCAATAGACTGATTTTTCTACCTCTAACAGAATACTAACAGTTTAAAAAGCTGTGGCTTCAGCCAGGCATGGTAATGCACACCTATAATCCCAGCGGCTTGGGAGGCTGAGGCAGGAGGATTAAGAGTTTGAAGCCAGCCTCAGCAACTTAGCAAAGCATTTAGCAACTCAGCAAGACCCTGTCTCTAAATAAAATACAAAAAGGGCTGAGGATGTGGCCCAGTAGTTACGTGCCCRTGGCTTCAATCCCCAGTACCAAAAAAAATTTTTAAAAAGCTGTGGCCTCAAGACACAATTGCAATTTTACTCAACAAGATATTTTCAGGATGTTCACTTTAACAAAGATTATAAAAAAGGAAAAGGAAGCAATGACAATTATGAAATGTAGAATATTCTTAGGATGTTTAATATGTAAGTTCCAGATCTTAATAATTATTGATRTTGACTCTTAGTTAAAATGCAAAAGCAAATAAAAAGAATTCTCCACTTTTTAAATCACTTAAGTTTCCAGGCTATAATCTCCCTGAGTATTAAAAAAAAAAAAGAAAAAAGAAAAGAAAATCATACTAAACTTTATTTTGGCTAACATATAAAGAATTGTTATCGGGCTGGGATTGTAGCTTAGTTGCTCAGTTGCAGTATGCTTGCCTCGAATATGTGAGGCACTGAGTTCAATACTCAGGGCCACATAAAAATAAATAAATAAATAAATAAATGTATTGTATCCATCTACAACTAAGAAAAATTTAAAAAAAGAAGAATTGTCATTAATATGTCATATATCCAATATAAAGCATTCCTGATCCTGCTGAAAGTTTTAACATTAAGAGAAGGAAACTAATGGTGAGATAGTACTACATATCTGTTAGAATAATGAAAACCCAAAACACCGACATCAGATGCTGGTGAAGATGTAGAGTAAAAGGAACCCTTCATTCAYTGTTGGTGGAAATGCAAAATGGTACAGCCACTCTTAAAAGTAGTTTGGCAGGTTCTTACAACACTAAACACATTCTCTATTAATAATTCAGCAATCATAGGTGAGAGGGAGAAAGGGAGAGGGAGAGAGACAGAGAGGGAGAGAGAGAAGGAGAGAGAGAGGGAGAGAGAGAGGGAGAGAGAGAGGGAGGGGGAGAGAGAGGGAGAGAGAGAGAGAGAGAGAGAGAAAGAGAGAGATTGGTTGATTGATTTAACTGCCAAAATTTGGAAATAACCAAGATATTCTTCAGCAGGTAAACACATAAACAAATGATGATACCTCCATACAATGAAATATTCAACAATAAAAATAAGCTATCAAGAAATACAAAGATATGGAGGAACCTTAAAAGCACATTGCTGAGTGAAAGAATTCATTCTGAAATGGCTACATGCTGTTTGAGTCCAACTATATGACATTCTGGAAAAGACAAAACTATGAATAAGTAAAAATATAGCTGGGAGTGGTGGCGCACACCTATAATCCCAGTGACTTGGGAGGGTGAAGCAGGAGGATCACAAGTTCACAGCCAGCCTCAGCAATTTTAGCAGGTCCCAAACAACTTAGTGAGACCCTATCTCAAAAATAAAAAAGGATTGGAGAGTAGTTTAGTGGTTAAGCACTCCCAGGTTCAATTTCCAGCACCAAAAAATAAATAAAAAATAAAAATATCAGTGGATGTCTGAAATCTGGGGAGACAAAAGAAGAGAGAGAAAAAAACAGGTAAGTCAGAGAATTTTTAGGGYAATTTTTATTCTATATGATCCAAATGGTAGAAAACCACCATTATCCATTTGTCAAAATCCACACAATGTCCAACACAATGAGTAAACCCTAATGTAAACTCTGAGCTTTAATTAATGATAAGAGATAAAGACTGGTTCATTAAAGTRTAATCAATATATCATACACATCAGTGGGTAACTGACAGAGAATCGTAAGTGTGGGAACTCTACTTTCCAAACCATTTTCCTGTAAACCTAAAACTGCTTTAAAAAAATTAAGTTTAGTCATGTATAAGAATAAAAAAGTTTCTAGAAATTTAAATAAATTTTTAAAAATTTAAAATTAAAAAAAAATAAGTGTATTGCTGGCACAGTGGTTTATGCCTAGAATCTCAACTATTCAGGAGGCTAAGGCAGGGGAATCACAGATTGAGGCAACCCTGGAAAACTTCAAGAAATTTTGTCTCAAAATTTAAAATTAAGGATTGGGGATGTGGTTCAGTGGTTAAATGCCCCTGAGTTTAATCCCCAGTACAAAAAAAAAAAAAAWTTWARKTWAAAAAAAAAAAAAAAGGTGGCTGGTGATATAGCTCAGTGGTAGAATGACCCTGGAGTTCAATCCTTAGTTAAAAAAAAAAAAAAAAGGGCGCGGGTTATAAAACTATTAATATTTTTAAAAGGCAAAAAACAAAATGATAACAAAAAACATGGAGCTTCATAAAAGAGTCAATTCAAAAGGATTTAAAAAAAAGAAGGACCTACAAATATCAAAAATTAAAAACAAAGCTTCCTTAATACTAACTTCCTAGAAATGTCCCAAAATGTTAAGAATCAATAGTCATGGGGCTAAGACTGTAGCTCAGTGGTAAAGTGCTTGCCTCACATGTGTGAGGCACTGGGTTCAATGCTCAGCACCACATAAAAATAAAACAAAGGTATTCTGTGTCTATTTACTATTAAATTTTTTTTTTTCTTAAAGAATTGTGGCCGGGCACAGTGGCACATGCCTGTAATCCCAGCAGCTTGGAAGGCTGAGGCAGGAGGATCGAAAGTTCAAAGCCAGCCTCAACAATGGCAAGGCACTAAGCAACTAAATGAGACCCTGTCTCAAAATAAAATACCAAATAGGGCTGGGGATGTGGCTCAGAGGCCAAGTGCTCCTGAGTTCAATCCTCAGTACAAAAAAAAAGGTCAACAAATAAAATTTACATAAATTTCTTAAAAAAAAAAAAAAAAAGAATTGTGTATCACCTGGGCAAAGTGTTACATACCTGTAATCCCAGCAACTCAAGAAAGAAACTAAGGCAGAAGGATCACAAATTCAAGGATAGCCTCAGCAACTTAGCAAAGCCCTAAGCAACTTAGTGAGACGCTGTATGAAAATTAAAAAAAAAAAAAAAAATTTAAAGTCTAGGAATGGGGGGTTGGGAATATAGCTAAGCTGGTAACATGCTTGACTTTCATGCACAAGGCCCTGGGTTCAATCCCTAGTACCACCAAAAAAAATAAGGCTAGGAATATAGCTCAGTAGTAAAGCATAACTGGGTCCAACCCCCAGTACCCAAAAACAAAACCAAAAAAATTGTGTATCAACTCTTCAGCTCCCAATCCTAAATTAGAACTTTGATTAGGGAAAGGTTGAAACTGAACAACCAGAAAGGGGATGTGAAATCTTCTGAGTCTGGAAAGACTCAGRCACAAACAGCTAAGAAGGCACAGGGCTAAAAACAAGGAATGGTATAAAGTCAGTGTAAGAAATACAAGACCTGCTCTCCCAATCATATAAGTTGTGAAGAGACTCTGCAACTGCAGCTTATTAGGTATGGATGCCACCAGATGGGAAGCTTACTAGGGCTGGGGAGTGAATGCCCACCTTCTCCAGGCTATCTCACTCATCAGTTCTCACAACAATGGTAGCAGGTATGTGCCACTCATGACATGMACAGGGACAAGAAGTAAAAAATAGAGGTAACATTCTTAATAGTGAAAGCAAAGCCTCTAGAAAGTGAAAACTGGGAGAGGGAAGAACAACACATTGACAGCTACTTCCTGTTAGAAGCCTTACAGAAGAATCATGTAGTTGAACTTTTACACATTATGTCCAAATGTTATTTTTAAACCATACACTTACAACACTTTGATTAAAAATAATATTTTTTAAATGAATTAACACAGTATACTTAAAGTTCACTTTTTTGTTGTTTTYCTTTTCTTTTTGTTTTTTTGTTTTCATCCTTACCTTCTTCCCACCTGGCTTCTCCACAGTGAAAACATCACTCCAGATCTGAATCCCAGTGGTTTCTGGGTCAGAGCCTCCTCGCCATGAAAATCCTGTTAATGGTTCTTCTGGGTCACCCAACCAATTTGAATGGCCACCTTCCTTCTAAAGGATAAATAAGACATTTCCATTAATTTGCCATTTTTTTTTCCCCATTCATTACTGGAGATCAAACCCAAGACCTTACCTCATAGATACAAGGCAAACACTCTATTACTGAGCTATACCCCAGACCCCTCCACTAAATCTTTTTTTTT